CGGAGCCGGGAAGGTCCGCCTGGGGTGGGCGGGGGCGCGCAGAGGGGCCCCAGTCCCCGGCTCTTCTCCCAGAGGACGACGTCTTCAAGGCTCAAACCCGATGTAGCGTGCGTCAGAAGTTCCTCCCGGCTCTTCTCCCAGAGGACGACGTCTTCAAGGCTCAAACCCGATGTAGCGTGCGTCAGAAGTTCCTGTTGTCCCCATTTTAGGGATGAAGAAATTGAGGCACCGAGTGATTACAAGCTCAGCAAGTCTGGCTCCGGCGTCCATGCTCTTGGTCCCACGCTCCAGAGATCGTGTTGCTAACAAGCGGCAAATCCTCAGGGCTTGAGGTCTGCGTGGTCACTCACTTCGCCCCAATGTACGCCTAGAATTTGACCACTGGTCTTGCTGCTCCTCAGTCCAACTTCCTGAGCTTGCTACATCCCTCCTCTGGGCCTCTGCTTCTCCATCTTCAAAATGATGGGGAGAGGGGACGGTGTAGCTCAGTGGTGGAGTACCTGCTTAGCATGCACGAGATCCTGGGTTCAATCCCCAGTACCTCCATTTAAAAAAAAAAAAGGTGGTGCTTTTAGAAGCAGAGAGCAGAATGGGTTACAGGGAGCTGGGGAGAGGGGCACATGGGCAGATGTTGGTCAAAGGGTATAAAGTTTTGGATACCGACGACGAAAAAGTTATGAAGATCTAATGCACAGCCTGGTGATCAGAGTTAACAACACTGCATGGTGTTCTTGAAATTTGCTGAGTGTGCAGTTTTTGTTTTTTTTAAGTATTTAACAATTTTTTTTGGAGGGGGAAGCAATTAGATTTATTTATTTAGTTAGTTAGTTATTACCAGTACTGGGGATGGAACCCAGGACCTCGTACACGCTAAGCAAGAACTCTACCACTGAACTATACCCCCCTTTTTTTTCTTTCTAATTTTGTTCTTACTTTATTTTATTTTTTTAATGGAGATGCTGGGGATTGAATCCAGGACCTCGTGCATGCTAAGCACATGCTCTACAACTGAGCCATTCCCCACCTCCAAGTAGTTCTTAATTATTCTCGCAACAACCAAAAAATGGTAACTGTCTACTGAAAACAAACAAAAAACACACCAGAGTGTTGTGAGTTAAGTTTTATCCAGGGTCTTGTTGAGAACTATAGTCTGACAAATAGCCTCTCAGCTCTAGGGAGCTTCTCTGAAGAGGTAACAGGGGAAAGGTAGTTTATATGTGATTTTTGTTAGCAATACACGCAGTCAAGCAAACATCTTGGTAAAAGATTACTGCTAGTCACTTTGGTATCAAGGTAATGCTGGCTTCGTGGAACAAGCTGGGAAATGTTCTTCCTCTTCTATTTCTTGGCAGAGTTTGTGAAGGTTTGGTGTTAATTCGTGAAGCATTTCATAGAATTCACCAGTGAAGCCATCTGGTCCTAGGCTTTTTTTTGTAGGAAGTTTTATGATTACTATTTCAAATTTTTTTTTTTACTATTTCAAATTCTTATCTGTCATAGATCTATTCAAATTTTCTATTCTTGAGTCTATTTTGGTAAAAAGGTGTTTCTAGGAATTTTCCCATTTCATCTGGGTTATCTAGTCTGTTCACATACAACTGTTCACTGTACTTCCTTAAAATCCTTTGTCTTTCAGTAAGATCAGTAGGGGTGTGCACACTTCCATTACTGATTTGAGCAATTCAAGTCTAATTTTTCTCTCGGTCATTCTAGTTAAAAGTTTGTCAATTTCATTGACTTTTTAAAAAATCCAATTTTTTTTGTCTCATTGATCTTCTCTAATTGTTTTTAATTCTCTATTTCACTGATCTTTCCACGTTTACCTTTATCATTTCCTCTCTGCTGCTGCCTGTGGGTTTAGTTTGCTCTTCTTTTTCTAATTCCTTAAGGTGTAAATTAGGTTATGGACTTGAGATCTGTATGTGTTTGCAGTTTAAATGTCCCTCTTAACATTGCTTTTGCCCACATCCCATAAATTTTGGTGTGTTATGTTTTTGCTTTCATTTGTTTGAGGTAGTTGCTAATTTCCCTTGTGAGTTCTTCTTTGATCTATTGTTTAAAACCGTATTGTTTCACTTCTAGACATTTCTTTTTCTCGTTTTCCTTCTGCTATTGATTTCTCACTTCATCCCACTGTGTACAGAGAAAACACACGTTGTATGATTTCAGTCTGTTTACATTTATTGGGATTTGTTTTATGGCCTAACGTTGTCTATCCTAGAAAGTACTGCACATGCACCTGAGGCTGCTCTGCTGCTGTTGGCACAGTGCTCTGTGCACCCGACAGGCCCGTGGGTTCAGAGCATGGTTCAGGCCCTCTGTTTCCTTGGTGGTCTTCCGTCTCACTAGTCTAGCCATCAGTGAAAGTGGAGTACTGAAGTCATCAACTATTACTGTTGATAGTTTAATCACATCTCAGCCTTAATTTTTAAGTTCTCTTTGGAAGCTGGGGGGGCTTGCACCTACCACCCAGCCCTGCATCAGATGCTATGCTCACCCTACATCCCAAGCTCAGCAATGGTGGCTGCTCCATTCTTTATTAGTCAAAGAAACAGTGGTTTTCAGCGTCTCCCCTAAGGAAGGAGGCTCAGAGGGCTGAGCCAGCCAGGCCCTACTGGGGGCGCTGCTTCTACTTGAACTTCTGCAGCAAATTGCAGATCCTCTCCTTGACCCATGGATCCAACGTTGAGCAGTCCCACTCTGCCAACGTCATCAGCCGCTGGTGGGCCTCCCAGAAGAGGCCGGAGCCGAGGGCCAGCTCCACCCTCATGCGCCAGTCAGCCAGCTTGGAGTTGTTGAGAAAGACGTTATGGTTGCCCCCCATGGGCTGTGGAGAGACAAAGAGGATGGAGTGGTCAGCCTGGGGACCCGCCAGATTCCTCTCCTACAGCCTCAGCGGCTCTCCCCATCCACCCCTGAGAAGAGTGAGTCTGCTGACCCCCAGGTCCTGGGTCAGGGGTCGCAGGCTGTGTAATAGATGAGGGGTGGGGATGAAAGATCCAGGATCCCCCAGGACTCTCAGTCACTGGTCTTGCTCCAAGGCTCCTGAATCCATCTTGGAGGTGACCCTTACTCAGGGGGTTTCCACTGCTCCAGCATGAAACCTCCCATGGGGTCCTGCCTTCTTCCAGGAAAACCCCTTGTCCCCAGATGAGGGTGGGAGGAATTCAGTTATCTGTCTCCTGTGTTGAGCCTCCCTCTGTGATCAAGCACAGGGCTGGAACAAGAGACCCAGGAGGCAGCCTATGACACATGCAGCCAGGATATCTGGGAGATATCCCACATGGGGTGGGAGTGGGCAAAGCAGAAGGGGTGGGGGTTGACAATTAAGGGGTTGCACCTCCTTGGACAGAAAAACTGGAATTTTTTCCCGGTGCAGGTCTGCACTGCGCACGGACCAGGGACCAAAGTGGCTACCTTGCATACTGACCAGGGCCCCCATCGCCCCCTGCACACCTGCATCATCTCCACCAGAGCTACCAAGTCGGCCAGGGAGATGCAGTCTCCGGTGATGAACATCTTGTCCTGCAGAAACTTCTCCTCGAAGAACTGCAGGTTGTTCCTCACCTCTGCCAGCATCTGCTCCGTCTTCTCAGCAGGAACCTCCTCGCCCGTGATCATTGGGATCAGCAGCTGGCCAGGGGAGGGGAGAGGAGGCTGCATCTGACCCTCCGGGCCTCAGTACCCTTGTCCGCTAGAGAGGTGTGGACAGTACCGAGGATAGAAAGTGGTGTCACCTCATTCAGCAGGTCTGGTTAGTGGCAGTTGCCTGGAGCCATTGTTCAGAGGGATTCTGAGGTCCCAGCAGGAAAGAATCCTGCGACTGATCAGTGATTTGTCACAGGCATAGGACAGGGAGTCACGGCACGTGGGCTGGTTATGCATCATCTTCAAATCTGCTGGTCTTTATGGGCCCTTGGACTCTGATATTTTCTAATTTGGAACGAAATGTCTTGAATCCCCTCCTGGGCACCCTTCCCTTTGTCTTTATAAGGCTCTTTCATACCCAGTGGCTCACATCAGACTCCCGTCAACTCCGGAAGGCGGGCAGGAAAGGGCCCTGCGGAAATGAGGCCCAGAGAAGGAGGACACTTGCTTGAGACAAGCCATGGCCCCACTCACCTTGATCCAGAGGATCTTGTTCATAGGCAGCTGGATGGCCGTGTGCTGCCAGGCCATGAACTCGTCCACGCGGGCGCGTGTGTGCAGGTCGGGCGGGTACCAGTGCGAGGGTGTGCTGTACTTGCGGCACAGGTAGAAGAGGATGGCCACGCTGCAGTGAGGCCAGTCAGGGCTCGCCTCTGCCTCCCTAGCACCCCTCCTCCACCCACCCAGAGCGGACGGGGCCTCCAGCCACAGGCTCTAGGCATTGACCCACCTCCAGAAGGAGGACCAGCCCCAGAAAGGCAGGCAATCTGCCCATCAATGAGGGCAGGGAGGGAGAACTTCAGGCGAGAGGGAGTTGGTGATTGGGACAGGAAGGGCAGTCCAGATGGGGACAGTGTGTGGAAATACGGATAAGAGGGAGCTTGGTAAATTTGGAAAAACTAGAGTCTGTGGGTGTGAGTGGAAGAGGGTAGGGGAGGAGGGGGAGAGGTCAGAGACGGTCGGAGATGCCTGCAACCCTCTGCCCATGCCCACTACCCCCGCCACCACACTCTCAGTGTCTCTTAGTCCTGCATCTTCAGGTTGGGACCTCCACATTTATTAACTGCCACCAGCCCTCCCGCCAAGTGGGGCCCACCCACGCCACCAAGTTCTCCTATACCTCCTGCCTCCAGAGCCAACCAGAGCTTGCTGTGACTGGAGGAGCCCCATCTCCTGGGGGACAGGCACCTGGCAGCATCCCAGGCCCTGGGATGACCCTGCAACGGGCATTTGGCCTTTTGTCTGCACAGCACCATTTCCCCTACTTTGCCTGCAGGGAACTGCTGCTCCACCATCAGCGATTCTGGCCAGGGGTGACCAGCAGTCATGGGTCCCAGTGCCCCGACCAGTGAGTGACCCACAAGCAAGCAGGTGACTCAGACTCTGCCTGTCCCTGTCCTTCCCTAGGAACTTCAGATCACCCACGAAGGAGAGGCTGCTTGTTTCCCGAGGAATAGGTGCTTCAAAGATGCAGCTTCAGAACTGCTGATGAAAGTGAGAAGCCGAACGGTGGGCTGGGTGGGGAAGGGCATCAGCCCCCCAATAGCCAGGCCCAAATTCCCCTGGTTTGTCACGTCCACCAATAAATTCAAACTGGTCAAGCTGTGTCTGCCTTCTGTGGCTGGTGTCCTTAGCCCCTCACTCAGAGCCCTGATAGACACACCTGGGCAGAGGGGCTGGGAGGCTGGAGGGGGTGGGGGAGGAGCAGGTCATGGGAGAAGACCCAAGAGGGATGGTAGTGGATTCACAGCCTTCCCAGGCCCAGGACTGGGACCTGGGAGGGAAGGACCACCTGGAAGAGATGGTGGCATATAAGGCCAAGGGCAGAGGGAAGCAGCCCTGGCACTTTGAGGTTGGGGCCCTGCTCTGGAGAGAACACGGAGAGTGCAGCTGACAATCACTTGGTAAAGAGACAGGTGTGGGGGCAGGGAGGGTATAGCTCAGTTGTAGAGCATATACTTAGCATACACAAGGTCCTGGGTTCAATCTCCTGTGCTTCCATTTAAAAAAAAATTAAATAAACCTAATTTACCCCCAGAAATAATAAAATAACATTTTAAGAGATAGGCATGTGACTTGTGGATCTAACAGACCATCAGAAGGAGCCAGATGGGGTGAAATGAAGGAAGACTGTGAGGCACATCTACAAAATGGGCTGATGGGGCTATTCAACTGTGCATGTGTGTTGGCCTTCAAGAAAGGGAAAGAATGACCCAGAGGGAGTCTCAGGGCCAGAAGGGCTGTCCTGCCACCACAGGCCCAGGATAGTGGGGGTGGGGCCAGGTTTTGGCCTCCCTGGTCCCAGAGGGTGGGGCCACCACCCTGATGGGCAGAGAACAGAACATGGAGCCAAAAATGATAATCCTGCTAAAAAAAGAGAGAGAGAAACCAAAAACCCAAAATGGAGTCACTTGTGCTAAGGCCCATGTCAGCAAACCAAGACTTAATATCTAACCTAACTGAAGTTTCAGCTTTTCCCAGAAATGTGACCTTTTACCAGTCAGTCTTGAATTCCCTGGTCAGCACTAGTGAGGAATTCTGCCTGATAAACCCATGCCTGCCCCCCAAAGGAAAATGACTTTGTCCCAGACAATCCACTCTTTCCTAGAAACTTCCTTTTCCTACCTCCGTTTGCCTACAAAAGGCAGCTCTTCAGAGCTCCTTTCTAGGTGGGATGCTGCCCCATTCATGAATTGTTGTATAAAGCCAATGAGATCTTCAAATTTACACAGCTGAATTTTGATTTTTAACAATTTTCAAGCCTTGAAATCCAGTGCAGCTTGTCTTGCTAGGTTTCAGATTTGCTGGGGATACTCAAGCTCTTTCCCTTCCTATTCCTCTGTTTTGGAATGGGAAGGTCTAGCCTATGTCTGTCCCTCCCACTGTATTTTGGAAACAAGATAACTTGTCGTCTGGTTTCACAGGGTCATAGATGGAGAGGAATTTTGGCCCAGGATGAATCAAACTCTGAATCTCACTCAAACATGATTTGGGTGATTTAGAGGATGGCTTTTTGGACTTAGAGTTGATGCTGAAATTATTAAGTCTCTTAGAGACTTTGAGGGGAGGTGAATGTGTTTCACACATGGGCAGAACATGAACGGGGGGGAGACTGTTATGAGTTGAATTGTATCCCCTAAAAAGACATGTTGAAATTCTCATGTCCAGTACCTCAGAGTGTAACCTTATTTGGAAAGAAGGTCTTTACAGAGATCATCAAGTTAAAATGAGGTCATAAGAGTAGACGCTAATGCAATATGACTGGTGTCCTTTTAAAAAGGGGAAATTTGGACACAGAGACACATGCACAGAGTGGGGTGATATGAATACACACAGGGAGAAGACGGCCATCTACCAGGCAAGAAAGAGCTGAGGCCACCAGAGTCCAGGAGAGAGGCCAGGAGCAGATCCTTCCTGGTCCCGTCAAGGGGAGCATAGCCCTGCCAACACCTTGATTTCAGACTTCTGCCCACAGAACTACAAGAAAATGTATTTCTATTGTTCCAAGCCAGCCAGTGAGTGGTGCTCTGTTACGGCAGTCCTAGCAAAGTACCAGGCCTTGGGCCCCAGACTTCCATGGTCCACTTGGGAGCTAGACTTTAAGTTATGAGACCCCCTGTGAAGCCATCTGACAATCAACCCTGCACCTTACCAAACCTCAAGACCTAACTACCAATTTACAGGAAATAAAGGGAAAGAAATCCACATTATGCAATACCAAGAAAACACAGTCAGCAGAATTCAGACCGTGGCAAACTCTGCAGGACAAAGGGCCCGGCTTCTTCACTCACAGCAAACACGCAAAGGTCCAAAGTGGGGCGTGGAGGGGGCTGCAGGGAAAAAGAGACTGAACAGGCAGATCAGTCGGCTGCAAATCTTGCCGCTTATGTGGACCCTGATTCCAATGCACGAACTACAAAGGAAATATTTATGAGATATTCTGAGACTTTTGAATATGAACGGGCTATTTGATGAATTCCAGGAATAATTATTAATTTTATGAGGTGTCGTCATGGCATTCTGGTGGAGCTTTTTTTTTAAGAGCCCTTATCTCTCTTAGAAGTTCATTCCTAAACACTTTATGAGTGAAGTGATGGGGTGGCCAGGAGGCTGGGGTAAAGAGTGGGGTTCAGATGATGCAAAAAGGGCCCCTAGTGGACACCTGCTGGAGCTACGGGGATGGGTGCAGGGGCTCGTTCTGCTCATTACTTAATATTTGTTCTACTTTGGTGTATGTGTGTAATTTTCATCTAGTTTCTGGGGGGTTTTGGGGGGATGGTAATTAGGTTTATTTACTATTTTTTTTCTATGGAGGTACTGGGGATTAAACCCAGGACCTCCTGCATGCTAAGCACGCACTCTACCACTGAGCTCTACCCACCCCTTGTAATTTTCCATAGTAAAAAAAAAAATCGGTCGGCACTAGCCGGTGGGGCTGCCGCTGAGTCTCCGCAGAGGCAGACGGCAGAGAGGCTCCAGGGAAGACTATTACCTTTCAGATAAGATAAATTTTCCATCTTTGAGGCTGGGCAGCTTCCGCAGGGGGTTGATCTCGATGTACTCCTTGCTGTGATGGTGGCCTGAGAGGGGCAGGAAGGTCTGAGGCTGCTGGGACCCCAGGGAAGAGAGGCCCGGGTATTCCAGAGGGAGAAATGCCTTTCTCTCCAGAGGAAGCACGTGGCTCCCCCAGGTAAGAGGGCAAGTCAGCAGCAGAACAGGGTCTAGGTCAGGACTCCGGACCCCATTCCAGGCTCTGTGACCAGGGCAACTCTGGCTCACAGAAGCTGAAGGCCTCCAGCTCCCACTCCCAACTCTGGGCCTGAAGCCACAGCCTATGAATAAAAGCTCTAGGGTCCTGGCTCCCCCTGCCCCCCTCCCCCAGCCCCCCGGAGGCCTCCTTCAGATCCATCGGAAACATTTCCAGGGAACCCTACTCACACCCTAATTATTTCTGGGTCTCCTGTATCTCCTCTGTTCTAGAGGCTACTGCCTCTGCGAGCAGAGATTTTGAAGCCCCCTCCGTGCCTGGGTGGCGTTCAAGGCTATGAACCTCACCTGGGGTTGGGGCTTGAACACTGGGAGAGGATGGGTGTGGACGGAAGCAATACGAAATCAGCACCCACCTCTGTGACTTTTGCCAGCCTAATCTGGCAGGTCCTGCAGCTGACCAGGTGCTAGACACCCACAAGGAGGAGGTGAGGGCACTGGGAGGGAAATCGGGGGCCCTCCACCCCTCCTCCCTCCATTTCACCCTGTAAAACCTGTTCAGCAGAGTCAGCAGGGACTGGCGAAGGCAGGGTGGGCAGGTGCACAGCCCATAATTCTCTTGGGAAGCATTTCTTGTCCCATGGACTCCAGAGGGGAGGGGGCTCTGATCTGTCCCTGTCTCCGTTTCTTAGAAACGCCCCAACATTGTGTCCTGCCTTCCCCCAGGACCTAGCCCAGCCAGGCAGTGCTGGGACCCACCTTTCAGCAGATCCACAAACTGGAAGTCGAAGGGGATGCCGTTCTTCTTGGCAAAGATGTAGACGGCACGGCAGGAGGCGGACAGCAGGTCCAGGTAGAGCTCCAGGCCCATGGAGACACAAGTAGGGCCCCAGCCACGGCTGGCAGACACCCAACCTGAGCTGATATGCAGCCTGCACCCTGGCCCTGTGCCCACCAGCCCAGGCCCAGGACCCCGCGTTCTGGAACCTCTTGTTCACTTGGTGCTGTCATGAGGCTGGGAAGCCTGGAATTCTCGCAGCACCAGGATTCTGAGGAGGCCAGGAGTGGGCTGGGGAGAGGCCTGTGGATCGGGGCCAGGGGGTGGGGGGTGGCTGTGACCCTGTCCTTCCCCTCCCTGGGGGCACCCATATGTGTCCCTGGCCTGGGTCTGAGAACAGTTTACACGTGGGAGTTCCCTGGGCCAGGCCTTCAACGCAGAATGTGACTGAAGGGGCTTTGCTGGGTCCAGGGATGATGACTCACCCAGGAGGGTTCCAGAAGCAGAGACTGGGGGTATTCACAGATCACCTTGTCCTGAATTGCAACTAGAAATGGGTGAAGAGGAAGAAATGGGAGCATGGGGAGCTGTCGGGCCATCAGGGATGATGCCACCGCAGACACAGTGGGAGGCTAGCCAGATCGTGCCACGCAGAGGAGCCTGGGAACTTCCAGTCTGGGTTGGGACTGGCTGTGGCCAGGCTGTGTGTCTGGACTCAGCACCTGGCAGCTGAGAAAGGTAACTGGACACCAGGGGGAGGCCTGAGTGCTGCCCACTCCAAGCTGCGTGATCCTGTGAGAGTTCCCAGGAGGACTCCCTCCTGGAGAGACCCTACTTCCCTGCACAGTGAGGCTGGAGGTGTGCGGAGGGAGAGAGCAAGTTTACTGCAGACGGCGGAGGGCAGGGGCCCAGTATCCCCTCAGTGCAGCTGCTCCTTCACTTTCTGCACCAGCTTCTGGGCCAGCTGGGGGTCCTACTGGGCCTCTTGGGGGTCCCAAGCCTACAGCACAAGCCTGTGGGCCTCCTGGACAAGCTTCGTGCCCAGGGGGTTCTCCACAAGGGCCCACCAAACTGCCAGCCAGGGCCAGTCTCAGAATAGGTCACAACTGAAGGCAGTGGGCTGGGAAGACAGAGCAGTTGGAAGGGGCTCAGGCTACACCCTGAGTACCCCGAGAGGGCAGGCGGGCAGGAGAACCTCACTTGCATCAGCTCTTTGAGTCCATCAGATCTGCCAGGGAGAACTGCTTGGTGGCCAGGAAGGGTTTGGCTGCCAGGACCTCCCAATCCAAGTGCTGCAGAGACAGTGTCAGCTTCCCCAGCAGCCACTCCAGCCACTTGGCATCCACAGGCTGCCTAGAGAAGTCGGGTAGGAGACACTGGGCCAGAAAGAGAGGGGGCACTTATATTGGGCCCCTCCAAGCCTCCTCAGCTTCCTCTCCACCCTCCCCAGATGCCATTTATCAGTGATGCCCTCTGGGGCTCTGTGTTCAGAAGGAATCTGAGCTTTCATTCAGGCTCAGAAGAAAGACAGCTAGGATAGATTAGCAGTGTCTGCATAGGGCAGTACACAGCAATTAGTATATGGGCCAATTGGTCCCTTCCAGCTCTGGGGGTCTTGGCTCCTGCTTACCTGCACAATAAGGCAGGAAGGCTCACCTTGCACAGGTAGACGTTGGTGGCAGGCAGCTGGATGGTGGTGTGCTGCCACGCCAGGCACTCATCCACAGGTGCAGGCCTGCTGGGCTTCCCTCTGCCCTCCTTCCATGCCCTGCCTGCACTGCGACTCTCCATCCTGGTGCACACAGCACAGGACCAGGGGGGAATTCCTGCCTGCTTGCTTTTTCATGTTGGGAGTCCTGTGGGACTGCCCCTGCCTCACTCCACCCATGAGAAAACCAAGCATTTCACTGAAAATAGAAATGTGGGTAAGGGAACAGGGCTGTGCTTTCACCTGCACTGTTTCTATCCCTTATGGGCAATTCCCTAAATGCTTGTGTCTGGACTCTCTGTTGGTTGTAAGGAGCCCTTGGTTATAAAACAGGGTGTAGGCTTCCTGGTAATTAAAGACAGCGAGTTGTTTCCTCTGGATCCCGCTAGGATGCTAGCCACGGAAGTAGATGGCACACGCTCAAGCTGTCACCCTCTTAGAGCCACAGACTTGAATATCTGCAATGAATGCACCAAACTGGCAAAAGATTGGTAACCACAAAAGTATTAAAAGTTCTACCTGTCAGTAGGGAACAAAGCACAATGAAATAGAAAACTGGGCAAAAGATATGAACAGGCAATTCACAGAACATGAAAACTGAGTGGCCCAAAAATACATAAAAAGAAGCTCAAACTTACTAAAAGTAGGGAAATGAAAATTAAAATTACAATGAATACCATTCCACACCCATCAGGCTAGTGTGTTTATAATATGTTCAATATGCTATTACAAGCTTGTAAGAGCAAAGAATTGGAAACGTTCTAAACGGCCATTAGCAAAAGAATCTAACACCGTGTAGAGTGAGAATTAATGAATTAAGCCCAGGTACCTGTGTGAGAGCATCTCGGACAGCTGTGGGGCAGAGAGACATTAAGGAAATCCCAAATCATGAAGCCAGCTACAAGGATTGTGTTAGGAAGGTAAAATTTTACCTTTGTCCTCTTGGGTTTTTTTCCAACTGGGTCTGACTGGCATTCAACAGGAGAAAAGCTTCTAAATGTATTTAATACAAGTTTCACCTGACTTGGGACCCTTCATAAGGAATGAAGACACAAAGTAATGGCAAACTTTATGCGCCTTTCTATTAGATTGAACAAAGAGAGGCAATTGCGGGAAAATAACTAAACTATGCAAAGAGGCTAATGGGAGACTATTTTAACAAGGTTTGTACTAAATTCTCTTGATCTCAACTTTTCCCCCATGATGGTAAGAATGTTACTTTCCTTCTGGTACTTGGAGGACATTTTTCACACGGCAACTTCATCTCTTGGTTTTAAGAAACAGAAAGAATGTCAGCGTTTTTCTTGCATTTGCTGTTTTTCAAGTGTCTGACTCAAAACAGTCAATATAACCACCATGCGGTGGCTGTCCGTGAATTCCTTTGATTATAAACACATACACGACGGCAAACACCAGATTCCCGAGCGTGGTTTCCACGGTGGAGGCTGAGGCGGAAGCGCCTGGGGGCTTCACTTAAGCCTCACCCAGGCGGAGAATACATTATTTGGACACAGTCTTTCTAATGATAAATGAAAGCCACCATATTAACAAAAAGGTCACTGAAAAAAATAAAAATTATGCCAGACGGCCCTCCTCTTGGACGCGCGCCTCACCCCGGCCCTCGGCACAGCATTTTAACAGCAGTTACTGGCCCCTCAGATGCAGCCAGTGCGGGTGCCCTGGAGCCCCGGGGGCATCACCGGCCACGCCCCGCCGCGCGGAGCTTGGTGGGAGCTGCCCGCCTCGCCCCGCCCCTCAGAGCACCGTCCCGCGGGGAGCATGCTGGGGGTGGCAGGGCCCACGACTTCACCAGCCCCACCCAGCCCCGCCCACGCGCGGAGCTTGTCGGGAGGAAGGGGGTAGGTGCGCGGGTTGCTCTGGCAACGGGCAGCGCCGGCTACTGACGGCCGGAGTGCGCTGGTCAGTTACAGTCCAGTGACCCGAGCAGCCACTGTGTGCCCAGGGCCTCCAGGGCGGCGGGTGGTTCCGTTATTGCCAAGAGGCGGCCGGGGCTGGAAGAAAGGGGCGGGAAAGCGCTGGGGCCTCCTCTAGGGCGGGAAGGGAAGGGTCGGGGCCTCGGGAGCTTGGACAGGGACCCGGGGGGCGAGGGAAGGGAGTGCAGAGTCTGCGGCCGTGTCGAGTGGAAGGAACTGAGCAGGGTCTCAGCGGCAGAGAAGGAGGAGGCGCGAAGGCGCGAAGAGGAGAGGGTGAACTCGAAAAGTGGAGGGGAAAAAGGGAGTTGGAAGAAAATGAGAGCGGGCGCCGCGCCCCACTCCCCCACCACCGCCTGGCAAAGCTGAGTCCACGGCGTCATTCCCAACCTTAGAAGCCCCATCACGGAGCAAACCCTAGTAGATCCCTACTAATTTTGGGAAGATGAATGTTTTATACACAGGAGAGCGGAGGGAAAGACCGGTCAGGGAAAGGAGGGTGGGCAGGCAGGAGGAAAAGAAAGGAAAGCTGTTCTGACCTGAGTCAAGAGTCCAGTTCTGGAGCAGGAAGGGATCTGAGGATGCTTTCCCGTGTAGGTGGAAGTCTGACCACAGCTCTTAACCACCCTGAGTCCTACCTCTATTTGTGGGAGACTTACCTGTGGGTTAAGGAGGGAAAAGAGGAAGGGACAGATGGACAGTGGCAACACAAGACTGTGATGCCAAAGGGAGGAGGGGGAGAGCACACATGGGGCCCACCCTGGTGAGAACTAGACACTGGTTTTAAGAGAAGTATGTGTCATAAACACCCCAGTCTCATTTCAGTCCTTCTAGGTGAAGTGGACCCAGTGTTAAAGACTACGGGGTCAGGGCAAGAACCCTTTCAGTAACCCTTGTCAGTAGGAAACTTCATGTGAGATTCCACCCCCCACATCTAGTTCATGCTTTGTTCATCCTTTGCCAGGGCACCTTGGGATCCCAGCCCACCTCCCTCAGGGAGGACCTTGGAGGTCTTCCAACAGAACCTGCTATGACCTTGGGTGTACAGTCCCTGCACCTGCAGGGCAACTTACTGCTGACCACACCAGGGAACATCCCAATAGGGAGGTAACTGAGCCCCAAAAAGTTTTCTGAGGCTGCTTTGTCATCTGTAAAATAATTGTAGCTCTACCTGCTCTGGAGGTGCTTATAGAGACCTAATGAGACACTGAAAGTGCTTTTAAAGGGTGCGGGGCTCTCAAATGCAGGGACGTGTTACCAAGAAAGCCCAGTCCACGTAGGTTAGGGTGCCATCGAGGAAGAAAGGGCCTGGAGCCAACCTCTCCAGCCAGGCCTGCCACTGCCATTTGCTAGCAGGGCTGGGACAGCTCCACGGGCTGCCAGTCTGTTTGCCCTCATTCTCTCTGACCCTGCTCTGGGTCCAGAGACCCGAATTTGAATCCTGGATCTGTCACTTACTAGCTGAGTGATCTTGGGCAAGTCATTTCAGCTTTCCTGTTTAAGTGGAGCTAAGATGGCCTGTGAATGAAACCACACAAACCAAAGTGTTTCTGGCTCCGGAGGAGGCCACTACTGTGGGGGAGGAACCCTGGTTGGGAATCTATTAGAGACAGTTATTTTGTCACCAACTGAAATGGCCTTGGGACAGAGTGCTGCAGCTGTCTTGACCTCATGGTTGCCTTGACCTCATCCTTCATGTCATATCATTTTCAACACTGCCACTTCCATCAGCCATAGCATTGACCTTGGCCCCGGTTTTCTCCTGTGTGACTTGGGGATAATGATGCTCTTAGGTCTCTGCATCGGGGGGATGTTCAGTCCTGGAAGGCAGCACGTGGTGGTGTGAGAACCGAGCCGTGGAGAACATCGGGGCCCCCTTTATAGCCTATAAGAATCTGACCCACAAACACCGGGGGAGGCATTGAGTTATGAGTGAAGAGCTGGTTGGAAAAGGAGACTGATCAGAAAAGCAGAAAAGCAGGTCATTGTCAATACACTCCAAAGGATAAGTAATCCTTTTTATATAAAGTGATTATTTAGATTGAAAAATTAAGAATTTTGAAAACCAGTACCATAACCATAGCAAACACAAGCAAAATACCCTGACATATGATTGCTGGACACACCATCTTTAAAATACTCCCTCCTGCCATGTTTTTTGACTGCAGACTCTGATTTCCTTTCTTTGTGACAATGATTTTGTAATATTTCCCACAGACAATAGACGATTCCACCTTTTCTTTGGCAGTAAGCGTGTCCCCTGGAGCTGTTTATGCACCAACATAGTGATAGTAATTTAAGAAGACACCGAAGTGACTTCAACGCAAGTGAATATATCCCACTTAACCCCTACATTAGTGATCCCCCAACTCTACCACCCTCCTTAGCCACATCCCAAATGCCCACAGCTACTCCCATGGGAGATGCGTGACAGAGGAATCTGCAATGGAAAGAGACAGTGGGCTTCCACCAACTTGTAGAAACCTCTGCTGCAAATTTTCCAAAAGCACCTGACGACACTAAGCATGGCGAGGACCCCCTCCAGGGCAGTCAGATGCCCTGGAGCTTGAGCTCCATTGGTCTTGACTCTAAACCCAGCTCTGGCCTGGGTCACTGCAGCTGTGCCAGGCCCCATGGTCACCCAGAGAGTTCCAGGGGGGATGGCATATGACTTTGTGCACACGGGTGACTGGGTCACTCTAATTCTGCCTAATTTTGTGTTGACCTGCAAGCATCTCTACCCACCCACCCTCGCTCTTCCCCCTCCCATCCACACAGCAGGGAGGTTCCCGGCATGTCTGCCCACCCCAAAAGCCCTCCTTTGGATGGGAAGAGGGTCCTAGGCCCCCCGAGCAGCTTTCTCCCAGCTGAGCACCCCCTGCCTTCTCTTGCACACACAGAGCTGGTCAAGCTGATCTTTGAGCCACAGGTACACTTCTGAGCAGGCTAGGGGTGGGGGCCAGCAGAGGCAATCCCTGCTCGGATCCCTGGCAAAGCCCGGGCCGGTTCCCCTCAACCTGCCTGTCCTTTGCCAGGACTGAACTGCTGAGACGCCCACAAGTATAAAAACTCCTTATCAGTCAGGGAAAGGAAACGCATAAAAGAAGAAGAAGAACTGGGAGAAAAGAGAGAAGGCTGAGCTTGAAGGGAGGGTGGGGGTGAGGACGGGTGCTGGTCCTGCCACTGACCTGCTATGTGACTGCAGGGGAGGCGCCTTCTTTCCATCTCTGGGCCTCAGTTTCCCCTTTCAAGTAGGGCCACCAACCCCTACCTGACAGAATTGTTGTGAGGATAACATGAGGCAATGTCTTCTTGAGAAACTGAGAAAGGCCACTCAGCCGGAGCCCTATCCTTGTGGCCCCAGGGGGACGGTCGGCCTGGAGGCCCTGGACTCAGGCTGGGGCCCTGCCTGTTTAGAGAAGTCGCCCTGGCCTTTAGTCAAAGCTGAGCCTGCCCTGGGTGGAGCAGGCGGTGCGGCCCAGGCCCCCGGCGCCGGCCCAGCCATCAGAAACTCCCAGCGCGGTTGGTGAGCCCGCCTAGCCAGGCCACTGGAGAAGCCTGGAAAATGGAGGGGTTGCTGTTGGCGCTGCCACTCCAGGGGCTGCAGAGAGGATGACCCGTGGAGGCCAGGGTCCAGGGAAGGAAAGTGAGCATGGGCAGTGACCCCTGGGGGCCAGGCCATGCAGCAAGGAGCAAAGGGTCCAACTCAGCAGGCAGCTCTGCCTCTTCCCAAGCATTCAGAGTGGGCCTTTTAAGAAACAAACAAAATCTTACCTGATAGGCTAGTTTGGGATTCATTTCCAGCAGAGCATGGGTGTCAGGTTCTGGGGACAGGCCGGCAGCAGGTCAGGGTCAGCAGCGCAGCTTTGAGAGTGAGGAGGAGGAAGCCAGGAAGGGTCGGGTTCACAGGCGGGTGTAGGGGCGAGGAGGCTGGGTCAGCACCCTTTGGGAGTCTGGGGAGATGGAGAAAGACCTGCACAACCTGGGTGGCTCACTCTGCTTCACCCTCAACTAGAACGAGGGTGCCCCTGGGCACCCACATGGCACAGTGGGCCGAATCCCCAGAGAAGCTCCAAAGAAGCTGAATGGAACCTGCCCACTTTATTTTCCCAAATCCTTGGGTCAGCGATATCGCAGCCGCTTGCCGCAGAGGGGGAGGGGATGGAACTCTGTGGGAGTGAAAGGCGCCCCCCACCTCCAAGCCCTTCAACTGTTTCTGGGGTGGCGGGGGACGTAACCCCATTCCACCCTCCCCCTTTGGGGCCCATGGTGGTTTAGGTCCCCCACCTCGGCCTTGGGTTGGGCCAGAACCCAGTGTCACTGAACTTCAAGGGCACGTTGGATCTCAAACTAAGAATTCTCTCCCAACTCTTTCCCATCCCAAATGAGGTCCAACCCCCAGATCCAAATTTGGCTCCAGTGTTCTGCAGAGATAATCAAAAAGTCAATGTAGAAACACCCTCTCTCACGAATTTTTCTAGGGTGGAATTCAAATCAAGCTTTAGGCTAAAGCTCAAAGAAATAAAAACTGAAAGTCTGAAGGTCAAAGGATTAAAGACCAAAGCATTCACAGAGCCTGGCCCTCAACTCCCTCTCCAGGGACCGCGCCGCCAGCCAGCCACGCTGCCGGGATGCTCTCCACACCTCGGTATTTGAACTGGCCTGTCCTGCTGTCCACTTTCAACAGGCTGAGTTACTAGGACTAACCAGATGGTGACAGCCCCATAGCCCCACTGACTCCAGGAAAATCAATTCCTAGGGCAGCCTGTAGGCT